AACTAAGTATCCTTTATAAAGATGTTGAAACCTCTCCCTAGCAGATGCATTTTAAAAACCTTGAGAGGAAGCAGAACCAGACACCGGGAGATGTGTTAGCAAGGAAGTTGAGCTCTGAAGGGAGGTGTACAGGAGGCAGTGTGCCAACAAGGATGCTGGGCCCTGAAGGGGAATGAATTGGGGGTCCCACATCGATTGGAGAAGACAACGAGTGCTAACGAGGACGCTGGGCCCTGAAGGGGAGGTGGATTATGATATCCCACATCAGTTGGGAAGGTGAACTAAGCATCTTTTAGAAGTGTGGAAACCTCTCCTTATCAGACGTGTTTTTAAAACGTCAAGGGAAATTCTGGAAGGGAAAGTCCAAGAAGGACAATATTTGCTAACGGTGGGCTTGGGCCATTACAAAATTGGTTTAGGAACTTCGGAAAAATCTTCTTTCAACTCTGCATAGACTAAAAAGTGCTTCGTTGAATTAGCAGTAGTAAACGCCACACGATTTCCTGATCAATGGAGGATGAGCTAAGAAATAACCTGGCTGTCTCTCCAAATAGAGAATTTTGAGAATGATTAAGATCGGAGGAAGATATTTAATGCTAGGAAATGCAAGGAACGGCTCTTAAAAAGTTTTGAAATGCTATTAAATGCATTAAATAAGTGGGACATGGTTGTGACACTTGTCTGTTGAGCCACATGGATACTTACTTACCAAGAGCACTGTAGAAAACGCCCTTGTGTATTTGTCAAAAACATAGCAAGTCTGCAAGTTCTGGGAGAACAACCAGCAACGCATCCACTTAAACCAAGGAAAAACTCCATTTTTTTTTATTGTAAATGGATGGCCTTAGAATAGTGGATTGGCTATGAGACATCTCTAAGTATTCCTAGAAGAAAAAAATTGATCTGAAAAAGACGTTACAAAATTAGAGCCAATTTAACATGTTGCATGTGCCCCTAGAACCATATGAATATGATTCTACAAAAAGACGGTTTCACGTGGAAATGAAGATACATGTGAGATCCTACATCGGTTGGAGAGAAGAAACCTCTCCCAAGCAGACGCGTTTTAAAAATCTTGAGGGAAAGCCTAAAGAGGACAATATCTGCTAGTGATGGGCTTGGACTGTTACAAATGGTAGCAAAGTTAGACACCGGGCGACGTGTCAGCGAGGAGACTAAGCCCTGAAGGGGGGTAGACACGAGGCGGTGTGCCAGCAAAGACGTTGAGCCCCAAAGAGAGATGGATTGGGAGGTCCCATATTGATTGGAGAAAGGAACGAGTGCCAACGAGAACGCTGGGCCCCGAAGAGAGGTGGATTGTGAGATCCCACATCGGTTGGGGAGGAAAACGAAACATTTTTTATAAGGGTGTGGAAAACTCTCTCTAGCAGACGTGTTTTAAGAACATTGAGAGGAAAGCCCAAAGAAGACAATATCTCTACACAATAAACGTATTAGAGAGAGAATATTACCCATTCCAAATGTAGTGATTAGTGAAATGTAATATGTAGTCCGAGTCGTGACAAATATACATGAAAGAAATTGTGTACCTTCAAAACTAAAAAGATTAGACGGAGATGTCATGTTTTGATGAAGCTTCGTGCTACAAAAATAAAAAGCTGAAGGCAAGGCTCTTTTCAGTGTCTCGACAGCGTCTGCCTACCTTTGCCCCATCTTCTCTAACAAGAATCTTATTAGCTATTATCTTCAAAGCCCTGAAATTAAAACTCTTGTCAGCTAATATCATCATGTTTCTTGAATGACAAAGGAATGTTCCCATGACATGAAATAAGTAGAAGAGAAAACCAGAGTGACTACAGCACATGAACTTGTTCTACCATGCTAGCCTTCAATGTCAGACATAACTACAATACAAAATTCAGTCGGCTAATACTAGATATTTTCATCTGTTTAAGAATTAGACCAAAAGTCACATCTAAAAACAACTCTAGATTTGATCCTATAATGGTTTTGTTTGAATTTGGCTGTTGAAGCCACGTATGTGGAATGAATAGTGTCATAGTTGAATGATCTAACTTGTGATGCAATCAATAATACTCTGAAACTGTTTGCATAATGAAGTCCACGTAGAAAAATGAAGCTAGGATTTATATGGTCCTAGATTCACAACACCAGTCTGTCATAAATATCTAGAGAAAAGAATGCAAATGTAGATTAAGGATGGAAAATAATCCGTTCATATAAAAATACAATCCCAAACATAACATGAAATGAAAATTGAAATGACAAAAATTTGGAGTACCTTTTTTGTATTTTGCAACTTGAATATTTTCAATTAAAGAGAAGAATTTTCATGGAATAAGTCTCTATATTGAATTTTGTATACATCATCTGGGGAGGCAGTCTATCTCTCCCACAAAAAAGTGTATAAAGACAATATATTTGATCCTCATAACTAATCTGGCAAATATATCTTCTTTCATGACTCGTTCAAACGAGAGATCAGACGAATAAATGTATGATCGCTGCAAGGAATAGTGAGGCCTCCCATAGGATGATCATAACCAAATTCTTCTTCAACTTGATTTAGCAGGTCCTTGAAAAATGGTTCGTTCAAGTAAGCTACTGGAATCAAAAACCGCTTCTTTTGGCTTTCTCCCACATAAACCGCGCAATAACCTTTGCGGATTGCTGAAGATCCATGGTGGGTTGTTAGAGAAGAAAGTCTAAGATTTTGCATAGCATTTACCATTTTTTCCAAGCGGAAACCCATGGTTGTTTCTCCCTCAAGAAGAAGTCAGAGTTGAATTTAAGAATCTAGAAGTTGCACAATAGCACTTGAAAGAGAGAGAGAGAAGAGATTTGAGTTGCATGGGAATTGAAAACAAGTATGTATATATAGACTAAAAAGGGAGACGTGGCCACTCGCTTGATCTAAGAAATGAGTGGTGACTAGCGAGACATCTATGAATGGGGCCAACTAGGAGGAATGTACTTGTGAGGTCTATTGTACCACATACTTGTGAAGTATAGCGACGCATATCAGTTTGTAATAGCCCAAGCTCACCGCTAGCAGATATTGTTTTTTTTGGGCTTTCCATTTCGTGCTTCCTCTCAAGGTTTTTAAAACACGTTTGCTAGGGAGAGATTTCCACACCCTTATAAAGAATGTTTCGTTCTCCTCCCCAACCGATGTGGGATCTCACACAATGTACTCTAGATAACAATCTTCAGTTACTTGGAAAAAATAATATTGGGATAACAAACTCACCTAACATTTTGGGAAAACCAGCCAATGGAGGACCTGTTCGAGCTGAAAATTGTAGCGAAAACTCGTTAGTTATGTTAAGCACATTACAAAAGCGATAATCGCTTTTGTTAGAGACATGCTTTAGACATAGAAACTGTTCCCCTAATTCTTTGTCATGCCAACATATAACAAGGAGGCATACTCATTTAATTGCATATTTTGTTTCTGTCTACATGGGATGAAGGCCTATCTAATTAAAAAATCTAAACCAAAGGGCTGAAGATATGAACAAAACAAAGTTGGTAGCTAACCTTTGATGACATATTAGTACAGCTGTTGGAGTCTCACAAACCAAATCCATAAGCCTAAACGACAAAGAGATTCAAGATAATTAGAACAAAACTAGAAGTGGTGAAATTTTTACCTGATGCAGACAGTTTGACCAACTTTGTTTTCTTTTCCACATTCTCCTAGTCATAGTAGATTGTCAAAGCATTCAAAATAAGTGCGATTTTTCTCTTTGAATTTCATCAAGGTTTTTTTGGATGAATAGACTTATTCTAAGGAAGAAAAAAAATGAGGCTGATGTCTCACTAAGGTATTCAAGAGGGATGAGAGCTAACCTTTACCTTAGCAGCAAGTTAGAAAGATAACTTTAATGTATCCCCACCAGAACACAAAGCTTATGTCAACTTTATGGAATTTACTCCCTATGTGCTGACATCGTATCTAATCTGTGAGATCCCATATAAGTTGGAGAGGAAAACGAAACATCATTTATAAGAGTGTGGAAACCTCTCCCTAATAGATGCATTTTAAAATCACGAGGCTGACGGCGATACATTACGGGCAAAAGCAGATAATATTTGTTAGCGGTGGACTTGGGCTGTTACAAATGGTATTAGAGCCAAACACCGGGCAGTGTGCCAGCGAAGACACTGGGCTCCCAAGGAGGGTGGATTGTGAGATCCCACATCGGTTGGAGAGGAGAACGAAGCATCCTTTATAAGAGTAGTGTGGAAACCTCTCCCTAATAGACGCATTTTAAAACCATGAGACTGAAGGCAATACGTAACGGGTCAAATGGGACAATATTTGTTAGTGATGGACTTGGGCTGTTACATAATCAATTATCATGCCAATGACCAAATAGGATTGTTTGACATTGAAACTGTGAAAATCTTGCGTGCGTTTATGTGAGGGAAATCAATTTTGATCTCCATTATCATAGTGTCTAGCAGTGTTGTCAATGAAAAAAGAAAAGGAAATCACTTAGTACAAGGGGTTAAGGGAAACAGGCTCTACTATTATTACACTTCCATCCTAATCGTTTCACTAAAAAAAGCCCTGCAGGTCCATCCATATCAACTGGCATGACAGTTGATCAAAATAGGTTTGAATACCTGTACAAAGAAATATAAGAATAACCAGAAACAATCATTTTAAGATATAATTTACCAATACTAATACAATTATTATCTGCTTGACGTTACCAATACTTGTACAAAGAAAAAGAACAGAAGTTTTTATATCAAAGGCCACAAAAATATTAATAGCAAAAGAAAAAGTTATATGCAAGAGAATGATACAAGATTTACATGGTTCGTGGACTATGTTCTAATTTATGTAGACTTTATATAATCTAATTTCTAGTAACAAGATGATATTACACCAGTCCTACGAAACTATTTGTCGAATGAAGTTCATGCAGAAGAGTCGCATTGGTATATATCTACTTTTATGCTAACGAAAAAGTAATGCACAGAAGTTGAAACGAAGAGAGAATATGTAAAGAGAAGAACTTGAATGAAATAACTCCATTTTCTAACATTTGTATATGTAATCCAGTACACATCATTTGGGAAGGCATTTTATCTCTCCCTCAAAAAAAATGTATATAAGAATGGTACTATATAAACTACAAGATTGTCTAACTAATATTCTCGTTCACGCCTAATTCAAATGAGAGAGGAGATCAATGAATTTATCATCACTGCAGGGAATGGTGAGACCTCCCAAAGGGTGATTGTAGCCAAATTCTTCTTCAGCTTCACTGAGCAAGTCCTTGAAAAATGGCTGATTCAAGTATGCTATTGGAATCACAAACCGCCTTTGGCTCTCTCCTACATAAACTGCACAATAGCCTTTGCGGACTACAGACAATCCTTGGTCTGTTGCTAGAGAAGAAAGTCCTAGATTTTGCACAGCATTTACAATTTTTTTCCAGACGAAAACCCATGGTTTTGTTATTCAGAACAGAAAGTAAACGAATTTAGAATTGAAGAAACTTGAGGTTTCCCAATAGCAATTGAGAGAACGAGAAAACTTCGTGGGTGGTTGAAAGTTTGAGATCTGAGTTGCTTGGGTCTTAAAAACAAGTATATGTATAGAAGAAAAATGGTGACGTAAGCAATAGTTTTCTCTAAGAAATGAGTGGTGAGAAATCTCTGAATGGGACCAACCAGAAGGCAAGTACTTGTGAAGTATACTGTATCACATGGTCCTGTCTCCCATTATCCTCAGGAACTCGGGAAATAATATTGGGTAAACAAAGTCACCAAACTTCTTGGGAAAATCAGCCAGTAAAGGACCAATTTTAGCTGAAAATTGGGGCCAAAGTAAAAAATTGTTAGTTATGCTAAGCACGTGGCATAAGCAAGTTCATGACTTTTGTTAGAGATATGCCTGAAACATGAAAACCATTTCCCTTATTTTTTTTTTTTCCTTGTCAACATACAACAGGAGACCCATTTAATGGCATAGATTATTTCTGTCTATATGTATTGAATATAAATCTAACTTTTTAAAAAAAAATTCTAAGGTATCTGGCTGAAAATAGAACAAAACCGAACATGGCAGCTAAGTCTTTGCCTTTGTGATACATCAGTACAGCTATTGGAGTCCCACAAATGATGAACCTGAATGAGACAGTAAGGTAGATCACAGTCAGAAGTAGCAAAAAAATCTACTGTTCTTGATGCAGATTGTGAGATCCTACTTTTGTATTCTTGTTTTATTTATTTATTTTTATTTTTAGTGTGTTTCAAACAATCCTATGTGAAGTTCACATGAAAGCTGACCTACATTGTTTACTCATAATGAGTGGATATTGGCATATTACATAAGATTCTTTTTAAACCGAATAAGCATCTACATAGGAATCAAGCATCTTTTCTTCAAAAATTAATAACGATACAGAATAGTAATTTCCAAGAGTATTTCTTTTGAAATATCATCATTCTCAAGTGTCGGTTAACTGAAGAATATAAAAACATCAAAGATGGTGCAAGCTTACTCCGACAACTTTCAAGGTTTAGTACGGTGTTGGTAAACCAGATAAAAATTGTTGCTTATGGTAGACATGTCATGTAGAAAACGTACTTCCTGTTTCGTAGAGCACCAATAGATACAAACCGCTTGAGTAGTGATAATGTTGCTAATGGAAGAATCAAAGAGGATTTGAAATGCTTATATGAGAACTAAAAACAATTAGTTGTGCATAGTTGAGTACCTTATGTACAAAACAAAATGTATTTGGGAAGGTCTAGGCCCCGAGAGGTGTCACTATAAAAATGAAGATTATCAATAATTCTATTTTCAAGTCGAGTCCATGAAGTGTAATGGCTCTAATATGTGTTTATAACAGAAAAGAAAAGTAAATAACCCTTATGCAAAAGAAGAAAAAAAAGAGAAGACCTTGCATGGAATGAATTGTTTTCATTTTCTAAAATTAGTATATGAAGTTCTCTATACATCATTGGGAGAGGCATTTCTTTTATCTCCACCTACAAAAGAGCATATATAAGAATGGTACTATCTAGTTTACTAGGCCATGTCTAACAAATACATCTTATTTCAGGACTCATTCAATTGGGAGATGAGATCAACGAATGTACCATCGATGTAGGGAATAGTGAAGCATCCCATAGGGTGACTGCAGCCAAATTCTTCTTTGGCTCGACTTAGTAAGTCCCTGAAAAATGGTTGATTACAGTAAGCTACTGGAATCACAAACTGCTCCCTTGACATTGTCCGATGTAAACTGCACAATAATCTTTGCAGACTATTGAAGATCCGTGGTTTGTTGTTAGAGAAGAAAGTCTAAGACTTAGCACAATATTTACAATTTTCGCCAAATGAAAACTCACAGGTTTGTTCTCCACAAGAGGAATTCGAGTAATTTTTAATTGAAAAAACCTTGAAGTTGCACAACAGCTAGAGAGAAGCTTGGTGACTGGTTGAAAGTTTGAGATGCAAGTTGCATGGGGATTCAAAATCATGTATGTAAGTTGAAAAGGGTGATGTGGGTAATAGCTTGCTTTAAGAAATGAGTGCTAGATATGTTTGAATGGGGCCAACTAGGAGGCAAGTGCTTGTGAAGTCTACTGTATTGCATGATCCTGTCTAGGTAATAATCTTCAGCTACTTGGGAACTAATATTGAGATATCAGTCACCGAAAACCCATGGAGGACCCATTTGCGTAGAAAATTGTGGCTTAGTGATAGTTTGTTTATTATGTTAATCACATACCTTAAGCAATAGTCATCACTCTTGTTACGGACATGCCTAAGACATCTAAGACATCTCAGACATCTCAACCATTCCCCTCATTTTGTGCTATGCCAACATAGAACAAGGAGCACACTCGTTAAATGGCATAGATCTTTTCTGTCTAAATGAATTGAAGATTTATCTGATTAAAAAATCAAAACCACTTGGCTGAAGACAAGAACAAAACTAATCTTGGAAGGTAAGCCATTGTCACACAAGAGTGAAGCGATAGTCATCACTCTTGTTAAAGACATGCCTAAGACATCTAGGACATCTCAACCATTCACCTAATTTTGTGCTATGCCAACATACAACATGGAGAAAACTCATTAAATGGCACAAAATTTTTCGGTCTAAATGAATTGAAGATTTATCTGTTTAAAAAATATAAACCATCCGGCTGAAGACATGAACAAATCCAAACTTGGAAGGTAAGCCTTTGACACAACATATAAATACAGCTATTTGAAGTCCCACAAAACAAATTGAATGAATCTAAACTACAAGGAGATTAGATTATAGACATATGTGGATAAAAATATACATGATTGTGGAATTATGTCTTCTTCCTTTTTATTATTTTTTATTTGGAACAAGCCAATGTGAAGTTCACATGAAAACTGACCTACAATGTTTGCTTAAAATGAGTGGGTATTTGAACATTAAATGAGATTCTTTAAGAACAATAAGAAACTATGTATTAATCAAGCACCTCTTCTTCAACAATTAATTAAGATGCTGAAAGTCCATTTCCATGGCTAATGATTTTTTTGAAAAATTACCAGTCTCAAGTTCTGGATTAACCTCATAATGTGATAACATCAAAATTGTGCAAGCTTGCTTCAATAACTTGAGGTTGAGTACAGTGTTTGTAGGTCAAGATATATTTGTTTCTTAGGGTAGATAATTTCATGTAGTAGAATAAGCAAATTCCTGTTTGGTGGTGCATCAATGGATATAAACCAGTAAAGTTGTGATCTTGTTACTAGTGAAAGAGTTAATTAGGTAGGATTGAAGTGCTCACATGAAAACCAAGGAAATTTATGATACATAGTCGAGTATCTAATGTACTTTCGTGGTGGTCTAATTTGTTAGCTATGCATTGGGCCAGTGATGCGGAACAAGTGATCAAAAGTTTCTCATCAAATGGTTTTCTTTTTTGGTCTATCTATATTCTTGGTCACAGCTTTTGGCTTTCTGTTTTCCTAGACCACTTGTTATCTACTCTATTATCTTCCACTCAAACTAGTGGGTCTTTGCTACCAGAAGTCAGGCCAAATGAGAAAAAAAGTATGTTCCAACCAATTTGGCAAGTCCACGAGATCCTTGGATAAAGTAGGACTAGCAGACTCCTGTTTTGATATTATTTCGTTCTCACCTTGTCTTTCTCACTCTATATATAATTCAAAACCCATTAGCAACCACTCTCCCAACTCAAATCACAGAGAAATTCCCATCCAAGTATATAGAAGTTTCCTAGTTCAAATCAATATCAAGCATGCTACCACCTAGATTTGCTCATTATGCTTTCAATTCAAGCAAAATTAAATATGAGAATCTGTTTGCCATCAATTCTTCTCAACGTCAAACAAATTCTCAAACACCGAGTGCTTCTACCCAAAATAAGTTTAATATCCCCAAAGCTCAAGTTGCAGTTTTTTTTTTTTTTTTTTTTTTGGGGGGGGGGGAAA